ACATCAGAGCACCTTAAATATTGTATGGGTTTTATTGTGGTTGTTTTAATGTTGTTTTATTGTATTTTATCTATTTAATCCGGCTTTCACCGTATGTTAGCCGCCCTGAGCCATTTAGAAGAGCAGGATAAAAATCTAAAAAAAATAATAATATCAAAAGCCATTCAAAGATCCGGTAGGTTTGATGATGCCCCTTCAGCCGAATGATCTCTGGGTGTAGATCACTGATTAAAGCTACAGGCTTTGCCCCGAAGCTTTAGAGCAGTCACTCGTGCAAGAGCTTTCTCAAAAAAATTGTAAGCCACCGTATATAGAAAAACAGAATATAAACACACTGAATAAATATATATTAATAATAAAAGGCATAGGCTGGAAACTGAGGATAACGAGCCAGGATATCTCAAGTACACAAATACGGGGTTTTCTTTGGGTTGAAAAAACTGCAGATCTGAGAACTCTAGTTTCCTGGAGAGGAAATGTCACTATTAGAAATGCCGGCTTCTCATGGCTCAGATGTTTCAAACAGTGTTCTGGATCGCTACAATCAACATCTGGCCCAACTGGGCAAGCAACTCAAGTAGTTCCCTAGGACACCACAGTTTTTAAATAAGTGCCACTGAAGCAGGGTTCAGTCCAAGAGGAGTGACCCCGACTCTTTTGTAATTTCACAGAGAATATTGGGGATGCAACACTCAGATTTCATACATCTTTTGGAATTGTATCTCTCGATACATCTTTCTCTAGAAAACCCGCTAGTGCAGGGGTGTCAAACTCATTTCTTATGAGGGCCAGATCTGACATAAATGAGACCTTGTTGAGCCAGGCATTGTGTGTCATAAAACGTAATGCCAGGCAGCGGAGAGATAAACTTTATAAAGGACATAAACACAGGGGTTTTTTTTTTAACTTAAAATAAATCATGCTTAAAACAGCACTCTTGTAATATTTTGTTTATTTAACAGTCTCTGATAACTGACACCTCTTGCTCTGAATTATTGCATCAAAATGCCTGTGCTATTGCAATCTTGAGTATGCTGTTCAGGTGTGTATCTGTAAGCTGCAAACCTACGATGACACAGCAGCAGCAGAACTAGAAGGAGCAGAAGACAGCCAGTTCCACTGTGGGCCTGATAGAAGCCCTCTGGGGGCCTGATATGGCCCCCGGATTGCATGTTTGACACCCCTGCGCTAGTGGCTTATTTTGGTATAAGTTTATCATGTGTGTGAGAACAGGGGGTGGTTTTGTTATTTGAGATGGCCTTTGGGTTTTCCAGTACTATGATTAAAAGGAAACGCAGCAAGAGCAAATACTACAGTGATTGATACATTTCTGTATGCTTATCTGTAAGAGGTTTTCTGCAGGAATACTTGACCTGTCAAGTCCTACATAAGTACAACTCTACTGATGTCAAAGAACCTATTCTTATTCCAGTAGTACAGGCAACACTAAAAGCAACCTCATTTTCTTTGGCAAAATTACAGTCTTAAAGTAAACACTTGATCCTAAAATGGGAGTGCTGATTTCAATAGTAATATCATGTTGCTGTTAAGTTTCTGGGCCCACTCCTGTGATCAGATTAGCAGGGGTACAATTCAAGGCTTTTCTGTCATGGTCCCAATGATATGGAATGCCCTCCCAAAAGAAACCTGCTTCAGCATTAGCCCTCTGGCATTCAGGAACTAGCTAAAAATTGCCCTTTCCTCTTGGCAATTTCAGATTTTGAAAACAATCGTTCTGTATTTTCATGGATACGGTCACACTTCAAGAGGAAATACATTTCACTATGCAAGTATAATTTGTTTTACTGGGTTAAGCATCCTTTGCTTATCACCTTGAGCAGCGTTTATGGGGAAGTAGGATAGAAAATGGAAAAATAAGCTATATGGCATCTGTGAGGACAATCTCTCAAGAGAGAAGGGGAAGCAGAGACATCTTCATACTCACCATGACATCCTGGTCCATCCTCTCTCTATTCACTCTCACTTCTTCCAGCTGTTTTTGGGCCTCTTCCAAAAACTTGCTCTTGTTTTCCATCTCTTGCTTGAGGACTAGCTTTTCATGCTGGGCCTTGATGATGTACTCCTCTTGCTCCTCCTTCAGCTTCATCAGCTGCTTCATCTTTTCTTCCTCTTCAGTCAACAGCCTAACAAAGTTGCACAAGAGCCAGTTATTCTCTAAGTCACAGCAAAGGTAAACTGTAGGTTTTACAGGAAAAACAGATAACTGGCTCCAGAGATCCTAGCTTATGCCATAGTGAAGGGATGGGGAAAGGATTTTTCTTGGAAATAGCCTTTGTCCCAGCTTGAATCTCCACATACAAATAGAAGAGAGGCAAAAATTCTTGAGTTCTCCCAGTAGGAGATGCAGTAGAAGGTATCTGTGCTGACACTGCTGTGATTATTTCAGTTTCAGATTTTTCCAGTAAGAGGTGCATTAGTTGTAGGGTGTGGAGATGGAAGATTGAAGAGGACTCGGTTATTTCTGGATAAATCTAACTCATGAAGTAGTACACAAACACTGGTCCTGGAAAACCCACTGTTTTTTCAGCATGGAAGGGTAGATGTGCACTGTCTGTGAGGGAGAAGATATACACCCAAGTCTAACCTTTGTCAGCTGCAAAAGCTGTTTTGTATTACATTGGGCTGGATCCAACTGGGTTTTCTGCTGGTCAAACCCGATTCTCCCAAATTAGAGTCCCCGCTCCTAACCACTACACCAAACTGGCTCTTTTTGACCCCTGAAAAGGTTATGCCAGGAATCACGGGTCCTGCATTGGAAAAAGTCATGTGGGAAGGGGGCAGAATTCAGCTGGATCCGATCCATTACTCTCAGTGTGCTATTCAACACAGGATTAGAAGGAAGTAGGGCAACCACTGACCCTACCTGGCTTGTGCATATCGCACAGACTCTTCATCCTGACGTGCTTTGACCTCTTGCTGCAGGGCATCTTGGAGTCGTTGTTGCATCTCCTCCAGTTCTGTGATGCGCTTGCGCTGACGTTCTGCCTCCGCCTCTTTCAGAACCATTTCAGCTTGCATGGAAGCACGGGCCTACAGGTACATAAACAGAAGGTGGTTAGCATGTAGAATACACAGCGAACAGCAGGGGGCAGACTCAGCCACCAAAATTCTTCTCCAGCAGTTAGGCAGAGATTTTGGCAAGGGTTTTGTTTGGGTCATTAACAGGTTTATTTCTGCTTTCAGTACACAGTAATTGATCAGTATGTGTACAAAGAAAACATATAAAAATAAAGAGTATATGAAGAAATAAAACTGATCACGCATGATCCTTGGTCCCAACCTGCTTTGGGGACAAACGTTAATGAAACACTACAGGCTGATGGCATTTCAGTCTATATGAGATTTCTGTATGTTCCTTTAATGACTAACCAATAGGAAGGACTAACAACTAGGACCATGACCATGCTGAAGTGGACAGTATGCACTCTAGTATGTGCTGTCTTTATTGGTTTATGGTTACACAGTGTTCAACTCAAAGCAAGAAAAAATATTTTTCTAGTACAAAACTATTCTTTTTGCATTACGAAAGACTAATGTTTGGTACAAATAGAGTCCACTTACAGATATTTGCACTAGATATATCATGTCCACCACATATAATAATGAACACACAGCCCATGAACAAAGCTGAAATGAGGAAGGGGCTGTGGAACACTGGTAGAGCACATGCTTTGCATGCAGAACGCCCCAGGTTCAATTCCTGGGAAACCCACTTAAAAGAATCAGGCAGCAGATGATAAGAAACACCTTCACCTGGGACCCTGGAGATTAGCTGCCAGAGAGTAGACATTACTGACCTTGATAGATCAATAGTCTAGCTCAATATAAAGGCAAGTTTGTCTGTTGTTAACAGCACTGCATACGTAGCAGGTTCCCATTTAAGTTCACCACCACTATACATCTCTATAGTGCAAATATCTTCCCAAGCAAGGTCTGCACAAAGAGAGAGTCTTTACTGTATGTCCTGCTGCAGAATCTGGTCAGAGAGCCAAAAATAACTTGCTAATGACTTCCCATCTCCTTGTTTGTCACCACTTGTCTCATCTATATATTTTTAGCCTGTTTTGGGGCACTACAAGAAAGCAAGATAATTTCAATGCTCCCCAGCCTGGAGCCATAACCATGTACAGTGTCATGTAGTCCTTCTGTGAAACTTTGAAAAGTTCTCCTCTGCAATGAAGCAGTCAATAAACAGCTCCATGTACACTTAGAACTGCTGACCAGCCAGAAGATAAAAATATATACTGGCCATACTCAGGGGGAAAAGATGTCAACGATAGCAGGATGGGAACCACAACCATGGGAGGTTCCCCCAGGAGGGGAATCACGGTGGCTGAAAGTTCCCCACTGCACGCATGAATAGTAGTTTTGTTTTCGTCTTGACACATCTGAATCATGTCCATGCCAATTAGAAACTCTTGTGTATTGCTTTGAGAAGTATGTATCAGACTTCCTATCCCTTTATGCATTTCAAAAGGTTCTCTCTATCTCAGCCAAAAAGTCTGGCCTGGATGGCCCACAGCCGTTGCCGCACCAAAAGTGAATCTTCATAATGGAATGAGCCCCTGCAAAACACCTGTGAGATGCTCTTTCAGTTATGCATCTGCTGTCTTCTGTCAGCTCTGGGAACGGATCTGGGAAACCACCAGCATCTGCCCATTTTGCACATACCTGTTCAGCTTCCTGCAGTTGTATCTCTAGTGTCCTCTGCATTTCCTCATGCTGCTGCTTGCGCCGCTGCTCTTCCTCTTGGAGCAGAAGCTCTGCCTGCCGTTGGGCTTCTTTCAACAATTCTAGCTCCTGCAGCTTGCGCTCCTTCTCCTCTTGCAGTTGCTTCAGGCGCTGCATCTCCTCTTCCTTGGCAGCCTTTTTCCGCTCTCGTTGCTCTCGTTGTTCCCGCCTTTTCTGTTTTAAATCCTTATGCAGAGACTTCTTGCCTTCTGCCTGTAGGCGGATTGCCATTTGGATGGCTGTCAGGGGAGGAAGGGACAGAGAAATCAGGAGGGATCAAATGTTTTTCCGCCTGGGTCAGTCCTATGACAAGAGCTACACTACTGCAGCATCTTAATTGCCTAGACATTTGGGAATCTGCTTTTTTGACTGACACATGAAGAACAAAACAGGGGCTTCCTGAGGTGAAAGACACACTTCTTATCTAAAATGCAAGGATCACGAAAGCTTTGTGGTGTGGGAGAAGAGAATGGCATCACTGACACATATGTACGCCCTTGCCCAGTTGGTCCAGGAGTTTGGGCTGGGTTGCCATCAGTATGCTAATGACACCCAGCTTTATCTGCTGATGGGACAGCCAGCCGGACTCCACCCCAGATATTCTGGACAGGGCATTAGGGGCCATTGTTGGATGGTTATAGCAAAGCCATCTGAAATTAAATCCAGTGAAGACAGAAGCCCCGTACCTAAGTCGTGGGGGCCTGGGACTGGGAATCTGGCTCCCAACGCTTGGCAGGGCATTGTTGACCCCAGCGCCGAGGGTGAGGAGCCTGGGAGTGATCATGGATGCCACACTTTCTATGGAGGCCCAGGTCACCATGGTTGCCAGGTCAGCCTTTTATGTCCACCACATGACCAGCCAATTTCCTATCTCACCTCCCAGGACTTAGCTACAGTGATCCATGCAATGGTCACTTCCAGTCTAGATTACTGTACTCGCTCTACGTGGGGCTGCCCTTGAACTTGATCTGGAAACGGCAGCTAGTGCAGAATGAGGCGGCGGGCTTGTTGACAGCGATGTCTGTGTGGTCGCGCATTCATCCAGTGCTCCGCCAACTGCTCTGGCTGCCAATTGAATACCAGATCTGGTTCAAGGTTATGGTATTGACCTTCAAAGCCTTATGTGGCTTGGGACCAGCATACCTGTATGTTCCCTGGCGGGCCTTGCACTCTGCTGACTAACATCTACTGGTAGTCCCGGCCTGAAAGACATCCGCTTAGCCTCAACTAGGACTTTTCTGCCCTGGCCCGAGCCAGGTGGAACGGGCTCCCATTTGAGATCAGGGCCCTGTGGGACTTGTTACAATTCAGCAGGGCCTGTAAAATGAAGCTGTTCTGCCAGGCCTTTGGCTCAGGCGGTGGATGTCCAATCCATCTTGGCCTCCCTGCCCACAGAAATACATCATCCCACTAATCATCCTACAGGAGGCATTAAGGACTAGCCTGGAGTTTTTGTATTTTATTTTTTTTGCTGCTATCTTGTTTTATTGTTTGATTTTTTTAAAAACTTGGTTTTAATATATGGTATTATTTATTAGATCCTAATAGTTGTGAGCTGTCCTGAGCCCATTTTTGGGAAAGGACAGGATATAAACCTAAATAAATAAATAAATAAATAAATAATGGTTTGACTGGCACAACTCTGTAGCTCCACTTTATCCTGTCTCAGCCACAAGTATCTTAACTCATGAGCAGCTCAAGATCAACACAGGAGACAAAGATAACATAATTCACTTTTATAAACTTGAACCAAATCCCTAATAGACACAAGACTAGTATTTACCCAGATAAACGAGCGCTTGTATCTCTCTCTTCAGCAGCTTCAGTTAGTTTAGGCTGTTCAGGTTATAAAGGGAGATTACGAATCGATGAATTAAGACTATCAAAGTTATGGGGATAAAGATCTTGTCCCCTGTCCCCGCTGTTTATATTTTAACTTCATTTCAGCAAATCTCCAAAGCAGGAGAAGAGAATCTTGCTCTTCAAAGAAGCAACAGTACAGAAACACCACAGTACTCACCAAGTGTCCACTCTTGCCTCTGTCTAGTGTCTGAGGCACTCATTTCATACGTTCGAGAAGCTGTTTTCACACAGAACATACACCGTTTCCCATCCCTGTCTGGCAAAATCTTTGAGTCAGGAAAGAAGAAAACAGTTAAAACAGCGCAAGGCATAGAATGCATCACTTTTTCACAGCCTGGGATGACGACGTCCCCTTGCACCCCACAATAACAGCAATCCCTCTCTGGTTTCTGCAAATTAGCCCCGGGGGAAAAGCCCTCTGATCTCTTGTTCTTTTCTCCAGAGTAGAATAGCTAAGGGCTTATTCACATTACCATGGTTATCGTCTGATAATGGAAATAATTTGAAAAGTGTGAGAAAGGGAGCAGCTATCACAAATAATGCAATTGCTGCTGAGAACTGGAGTGGTGATGGTGGCATTTGAAACAGCAAAAACATAATTTAATAACCGTGATAAAGAACATTAACTGAAAAGTGAAGGAAGGTATCAGAGTGATCATGAAACTACTTGAAAATGCACATATCAATCCAGTTTTAGATGAAACTGGACATAGACCAGGCCGCCTCTTAAAGTCCAACTTTCCTCCCAGAAACCTTCTCCAAAGTACTGCTGGTGGCAAACAATAACAGGGTACAACTCCTCTCAGGTCTTTTCTACCCTATGTCCAGGGCCGGCCTGAGGGGTTTTTGCACCCTAGGCGGGGCTAGCTTGTGGCACCCCCCCAGGTGAGGTTGTCTTGTGGCGCCCTCCTCAGGTATGAGCTGCCGCTAACCAGGGGGTGTTGCCTGCGGTGCTCCAGGCAGCAGGGGATGAGAAGGCTTCCCAGCCTCTCCCCCCCTCCCCCGTCATTCCCGAGACGAAACCGGGTGCGGGGGGTAGTCGCGGACACGGGGCTCCCTCTGCCTCCCCCTCCTTCCTGCCTCCCCCTCGGGAGGCCGCTGAGTCCGATGCCTGCCCAACTCGCCACCTCAGAATTTACCTTCCTGTGGGCCTGCAAAAGAGGAGCAAAGCAACTGAAGAGGGGGGGGGCGCTAAATGGATCGATATTGCTTTAAGCCCCCCTGCTGTCAGGAAATTGAAAAAATATGCAGTAGCCAGGCCTGATTTTTTCCTTTTCTTTTTTGCAACGGGGCTGGGAATGAATCCGCAGGTTTCTCCATGCAGAAAACTGTGTGTGTGCTGGGGATGAAGGCGTGGGGTTCATTTGCAAAAGATTAGGTATCCTCTCTGTTAGCCTGGGATGAAGCATGCATGGTTGTGAGCACACGTATCCCGCAGGGAGATGGGTGCATATGAGCGTGGAACGGTACCTGCCCAAGTGGGTGGGTTTATGTGTGTCTGAAAGGACCGAAAGGATGTGTTTGTAAAATAAATCAGTCTGCAAATGAAAGAGGCAATGCTTGTAAGTATGTGAGAAGGTCAGTACGGAGCTCGGAGCAGAGGTGTGTGTGTGGGGGCCCCCCTAGACCCCGGCCCCCTCCCTCCGCCCAGAAGAGAACCCAGGGCTGCCCCCTGAGGCTCGCCTTGCAAGCGGGAACGGGGGGAGGACACCACCGGGGGAGACTCCTGCCGTACATCTGAAGCAGGCCCTTTCAGCTGTGCCTCGCATCAGGTGGCACGCCCCCTTCTGATGAGGAGGAGAGCTGTTGCTCTCCTCCTCGCGAACTCCCGGCCATCCATGCTGGGATGGGGGCTGCTCTCCTGCTGCTCTCCTGCCGCCGAAGCCCTGGTGCTGAGGCGAGGGGGCAGGAGGAGCCGGGCAGGCTTGCAGGCCCAGGCAGGGGGAGCAGCAGGCTGATCCGCCCCTTTTCTACTCCGCCTTCCTTTCCCAAGGCGGCTCAAAAGGCGGGAAGGCGCGGCAGCAAGAGGAAGGCAGCGGGTGGCTCGGCCAGGTAGAGGGCGGCGGCGGGGCAGGGCAGCAGCTTTGGGGGGGGGAGATCGGTGCCCCATCCAGGGCCTGCTGCCCCATCCAGGGCCTGGTGCTCTAGGCGAATGCCTAGTTCGCCTAGCGGGTGAGCCAGCCCTGCCTATGTCTCTCTGACATAGAAAGGAACCTTCACAATGTGAATTATACACTTCTCATCCAATGTGGTCAGGAGAAGAGTTATATATTTAAACATTTTAGAAGAGGCTTGCCATTAGATATGCCACTTAAAATTAGTTATGGCACTCATAGGAAAACCTGTCTATTAACAAATATACTAGGTACAAACTCATGACCCTTGAAAGAAATAGTAGCTGCATGTTGCTCAGCACTTCCCATATAAGTGTAGACCAGTGAAAAGGCACACTTTATTATTTATTTGTTTGTTTGTTTGTTTTATACCCTGACCTCCCCTGCCGAGGCAGGCGCAGGGCGGCTTACATAAAATAATACACAAATAACAGTTAAGATCCACATAAAATCAGCTAAAAACAGTTCAGCTAAAACAATTCAATATTAAGTGCTTGTGATGACTAATTAAATACTTGGCGATGGCGTACTGTATGAGTGCCAGCAAAGATCTTACTAAATATTCTGCTCAGTGATATAAGTGGTGGCACAGGCTGAAGGTGTCAAAGCCCAGGGTTCTGTGATTACATGAAACCGGACTTCACATATCCCACCTCACTGGCATTAGAATGCCTCAAGAGTGCTACATTCCCCACTTAGCCTTTATGGTCCACAAAACAAGCCTTTCCTCAAAAATCAGCTATTTTTTAATTGGCACAGGGTTTACATACAAATGGACACTGACAAACAGGCTAGTCTTGGAGCCAAATTAGATGTTACATTTAACTCGTGGCCACAAGGATTTTCAGTAAGACAGTAGCGGCCAGTTTCCCGTGGGAACTCACTCCTTCAGGGGCCTGATTCAGACAAGGACTATAGTGTGTGGAAGGAGGGTCTTCAGTGGTGCACATGTAGACCTTTGATAAGACAAATAACGTCCCCTGCCTCCGGGCTGCTTCAGGTTGTGAAAGCAATGTGGGGAGGAATGCTGAAGCCCCCCCTCGCTTGTGCTGCAGTCTCAATCTGAAACACGCTCCTGTGCTGCCGGCTGAGGCAAGTTCCCACAGGGAATTTAGAGTGGCTGTCTGACTGCAAACCCCATGGTGGCCACAAATTAAACACAAGGTCTAGTTTGGCCCTTACTATACGCAGGTCAGACCAACCACATTATGCTCCTTTTGCTTTAGAAAATTCCCAGTTACCTCCACACACGAATTTCTGTCCAAAGAAATGCTCCCCTTTTTCTCCTTCCGTTCCTCACTCACATAGTAAGAGAGATTGCTGGGTTTCAGGGTAAACCATCGTTCAGACCAGTTTCGCCTCAGATTACCTTTCTTCCACAGATAGCCCTGTGTTGAATAAGAACAGAGAGGCACAGACATACTGTAAAAAAAACAAAACTGTTCCAAAGACTATACCTACAACTGCAATCATAAAAAGGAGTCATGCCACAAAGAGCCAATTCACATCACCAAACAGGTACATTTACAGTGCACTCCTAAACAGAGTTATACCCTTCTAAGCCCTTTGACTTCAATGAAATCAGAAGGGTGTTAACGTTGCTTAGGATTGCAATGTTAGAGTATAGGGTGATTTGATCAATGCAAAGTCCACTGTATAGTAAAGCAGTCGTGTGAGCACCATGCACCCACCTTGTGCAATCCATATTTACCACATCTCCACTAATACCACTTTGAGAAGCTTTGCCATGTTGTAGTTAAGGGGGATAAAACTGCAAGTTCAACTTATCGTGAAGCACACATGACCATTTCACCATGTGCCTGCATAGATCTAATCAAACTACATTATCAAGATAACAATAGAGTAGTTTCACTTAGTCCTCTGTGCATCTCACACAGGGTTACTTAACAGAAATACTCTATGCACATCTTTTAGAGTGTGCCATGCACTGATCCTGCTAGACCCTGGTCACCCATCTAGAATCCATGCAGTACTCAAGCAGATGTGTACACTGGGAGTGCTGGTTGGTTTTCCTTCTTCCCTAATCTGGGGATTTAGGATCAAACTACACCTGCCTTTTAAAGGTATATTGTGGCAGCCGGTGGGATTCAGATCAGGGTTGTGGTGTAGGAGAAAGTGGGTTTCATCTCTTCCCCCCCCCCATATATGGTCTTACTGATCAGAACTGACTCTCCCTGACAATGCTAATAATGGCCCTGGGTCAGTTTTAATCAAGATACCATGGGACTGGTGGGGGAGGGGTTGATATGGTCTTGATCAGAATTGCCTCCTACAATCGTAAGTAACCTTTAAAAAAATGCTCAGGATATCTGGTCATGTACATTCTAATATCTCATTTGGTTTGGCCCTTAAAGTATTATTTTCTCAACAGATGCTAGCATTTCCCACATACTATTATTACTTTGGGGTTCTTTCAAAGCGATGGGGAGTTTTGTTTGTCAGACATGTTGATTTAGCATACTTGACACCATAAGAATGTTGTGCCAGTCTTGCAGATTCCAAAATGGGAACTAAGAAACACGGTATTATTGCTTTGGGGTTCTTCCAAAGTGATGGGGAGTTTTGTTTGTCAGACAAGTTTATTTAGCATACTTGACACCATAAGAATGTTGTGCCAGTCTTGCAGATTCCAAAATGGGAACTATGGTATAAAATAGAATGTTTATGCAATCTGTAGATGTAGTTACCAGAAGCTAGAGTTATCACTCCAGCAAAACACTATGGATATACAACTTCAATGCAAACCCTCTGGCGACTCTTGTCAGCTGGCTATTACACCCTTTCTTTTAAGGTCTGCAAATGTACTGTATCCTATTGATCTATTAAATACAAATTAGATTATGTTTTCCAAGAATTTAGTGCTTCATTTGCCCAAAAGGTAACTGAAACATGCAGTGGACAATACTCACCAAACCAATAAGGATATCTATCTCCAGAGGGAAAGAGAGTTCTCAGCTAGGTCTCTGGTTGCTACAGCAGACCCTTTACTTGTAGTTCATTTTAGGCTGATTCTACAAAACCAGGCACAGTATTTCTCCCACTTCTTGACCAGGAGGGAGCTCTTTACCTGTTTGAGCACATCTCCAATGATTTCCTGGTAGACCTCTTCAACAGCCATACTGATGGCCTCTTGCTCAATCCCACGCAGGAACCGGCCTGAATTAACCAAATCCAAGAATTGCCAGACTGTCAAGCCACTCTGTTGCTGGGCTTCTTGGGAAAGGTAGTCCTCTAGCTCCCCACTGTTGAGTTCAATATTCATCGCCATGCAGATCTTCTTCAGGAGATACTCCACCTAAAACATGTGGTGGAAGTCAGCCGGGAAGAAATCAAGCATACCTTCCCACTTGTAATCATCAGTTGCTATCTAGATTTCCTTTGGGATCACATACATTTCCTTTCTGTTCAAGGAATCTGGCATTTCACTTTGGAGGCCCTTCCTGCTACAGTTACTTTAATTTTTAATACAGAACCTTATTTCCAGGGAAACCGTACTCCTGCTCCTGTTCCTTTGGGTTTCCCCCTCAAATCTTCTACATCTAACTTGAGAACTTTTGTTGAAAATATTTAACCAAGTTTAATGAGCAGTTATAGATGCAACTGTAATGACCCTTTTGGTTAGACAATAACATTTGATTTAAATTTGATAATGTGTTAGCACCAGAACTTAGTTACCTGATCTGGCTACTCCTGTGTGCAAAAAGACACAGAAATACAACCTAATCACATTTGGGTGTGTTTGGTCAAGCTAGTTATAATTATTAAATAATAATTAATGTAATTAATCAGACAAATAATTTACAAATAAATACTTTTAACCACCAATAGAAAGGCATTTTTAAAAGATTCTGGATTTGTGTTGGGTAAAGACTTCAATGCCCCTAATCTGTCTTAATATGTGTCCGTATCACTGGTATTAGGTTGGAGCTAAAGCAGGTTCCTTCTGGACTTTGTGTTCAGAATAAGAAGATTAAGTCAACATGAGATCAGGGGGAGGGACAGAAATGGGCATATGTGGGACAAAAATCTGCCCATGTTTTTTTCTAGAATTTCAAGAAACAATCAATTGTTTCTTAAAAATAAATTATTTTTCAAATGATTTTAAACAAAGAATGTATTTTACTAACTGTGTGTATGTTCCTTTAGTACCTTTACCTGGCCTATGATACTCCGTGGGAGGATAATTTTCCTTCCCACTAGTACAGCCTGGCCTTGATCTACATTCCTGCCACCACTGCTTGAACTCTAAAGTTTTCTTCCTGCCCAGCAAGTCAGAACAGTTCTCCCCATCTTTGTGCAACTTAAGTCAAGTGCTTGGGGCAATATAATCAGGGGCACATCACAATATTTCTAAGTGTTTAGAATAGGTTGTTAGCCATCTTGGATGCCTCAGTTTGGGGGCCAAAAGGCAGCATGCAGGCATACCAAATAAATTAAGGGAAGGGACTGGAAGGCTTTTTCTCAGCTTTTCTGGCCCCTGAAGTTCAGACCTGTGAAGATTTGGTTTACATTGCAGGGAGAAGCAAGTGTGCAACTAGCACAGGCTATGCTTTTCATGTGACTAGTTTCTACCTGTAGACATGAGTATGTACTGGAGGAAAGGTGGTACCAGCTTTTTTCTGTGGCACCACCACTTGGGGGGATAGGAAGCTTGTAGCTCCTCAAAACCCACCATATAGTTTATTATATTGTACTACTGAACATGGCATTTTTGGTGCTCAATTCCAAATGACAGGGGTTTCAGTAAAAAAGTCAGCTCAAGTTTTCAAGAACTGAAGAACAGGAAATGTCTTGGTGGGAAACAGGAAGCAGAGCTGGTGAGTATGTGCACGCTCTGAATCTTTTCTGCTGATCCGCAAGGGGGATAGGAAAAGTAGACCGCTGCCACTCCATCTGAAGTCAGCCAATGACGTGAATACAGTGGAATCTGCAGGAATCTTCCAAAAGCACTTCTTACAGACTATGTTCCTGCTACCTTCGGGCACAGTGTAGATGAGTCCCTCCTCTCTGGATTTATAAATCACCTGATAGAGACTTTGCCTTTGCACTGAGAAACAGAGAAATTTCCCTCCTTCTAACATGCCATGTGGAATTTAGAGATTATCACTGTTGTTAGAGGCTCTGCATGACTGAATGGCATTTTTTACAGTAATTAACCATTTGGGTAGAAAAAAGATGTTGCATATTCATACATGAAAGTATTTAGAATGGGTGTGTCCATTCCAGATGTTTTGCACTCTGAAAAAAAACCTCAAATGAAGAGTTTGGTGCATGTTGCATTTCACATTCAATCATTCTTTGTGCTTCAAGCTTATGGTCAGAAATAATGCTCCAAATACTGTTTGTTGTCTTGCAATATTTTTACCCCATGATACAAAATTCGAATCCCCCCCCCCTTGGTTGACCAGGCAACCTGCGGGAGACGGGTGGGTGGAGACATGGGGGGGTGGCTGTTGGTGTGACATCACTTCATACCATAGGGTCTTTTTTCCTGAAAGTGACACCATGCCAACAGGGGTTTTTTTTGTTTGTTTTTTTAAGAAATAGTTTTTTTTCCTGCTGGCTGCTAGAGTACTGGCAGGCAGTGCCCATGGAGGATGAGAGCTGGTCTCCTTCTTTCAGAGGGCATATAGAAAGCTTGCCCCCTCCAAAAAGCAACAACCATAGAAACATAGAGTTGAAAGGGACCTCCAGTTTCATCTATTCCAACCCCCTGCACAATACAGGAAATTCACAATACCTCCCCCCCTCCACAGCCCCAGTGACCCCTGCTCCATGCCCAGAAGAGGGCAAACAAACCTCCAGGATCCCTGGTCAAACTGGCCTGGAGAAAATTGCTTCCTGACCCAAATTGGTAATCGGAATTTCCCTGAGCGTGTAAGAAAGGGCCACGAGAACTAAGCACAGATGCAACTCTCCCTGCCCTCCCTCTCATGATCTGCCTAAGTTCACAGAATCAGCATTGCTGCCAGATGGCCATCTAGCCTCTGTCTGAAAACCTCCAAAGAAGGAGAGCCCACTACCTCCCAAGGAAGCCTGTTCTACTGAGGAACTGCTCTATCAGAAAGTTTTTCCTAATGTTTAGCCAAAGACTCTTTTGATTTGATTTCAACCCATTGGTTCTGGTCTGACCTTCTGGGGCAACAGAAAACAACTCCACACCATCCTCTATATGACAGCCCTTCAAGTACTTGAAGATGGTTATCATACCACCTCTCAGTCATTTCCTCTCCAGACTACACACACCAAGCTCCTTCAGCCTTTCTTCCTAGGACTTGGTCTCCAGACCCCTCTCGTTGCCCTCCTCTGGACGTGTTCCAGCTAGTCTATATCCTTCTTAAATTGTGGTGCCCAAAACTGAACACAATACTCTAGGTGAAGTCTAACCACTTTGCGTAATCTGGATATTTCTGTTGATACAACCGAAAATTGTATTTGCCTTTTTAGCTACCACATCACACTGCTGACTCATGTTCAGTGTATGGTCTACTAAGACCCCTAGATCCTTTTCGCACATACTACTGCCAAGTCTCACCCATCTTATAATTATGCATTTGATTTTTCCTACCTAAATGCAGAACTTTACATTTCTCTCAGTTGAAATTCATTTTATTTGTTTTAGCCCGGCTTTCCAGCCTGTCAAGATCATCCTGCATCCTGACTCTGTCTTCTACTGTATTTGCTACCCCTCCCAATTTAGTATCATCTGCAAATTTAATAAGCATTCCCTCTGTTCCTTCATCCAGATCATTTATAAAGATGTTGAACAAAACAGGTCCCACCAGAACAGATCCCTGAGGCACTCCATTTGTCACTCCTCTCCAAGAGGATGAGGAACCATTAACAAGCACTCTTTGGGTGCCATCTGTCAACCAATTGTAGATCCACTTAACAGTAATGGGATTCAAACCACATTTTACCAATTTGTCAACAAGAATATTATGTGGAACCTTATCAAAAGCCTTACTGAAATCTGTGGTATATTTATTGCATACATGTATATATGTAGTAGAACAGTCTGGTCTCCCCCCTGATATCTGTATGACTTAGTTTTGTCCTATTGGGTGGAGCTTTTGTTTCAGTTTCCAGTTTTGTAGGTTAGCTGTAGTTGTTGGTTGTGGGAGTTGTCCCTTTGTAAATAAATGGCTGATGTTTTGAGCCAGCTTGTCTCTGCTGAACGGACCTGAGAATGAGAGCCTCAGTGAGTACTCTAACCTGGGAACCATAGCCAAAGGGAGCTGTTACAAAATCAAGATAAATTATGCACCTCATTACAGAAATTGGGGCCATAACTGAGTAACAGAACATCTGTTTGGCATGTGAAAGTCCCAGGTTCAATCTGCAGCATCTCCAGTTAAAAGGATGAGGTAGAGGTGACATGAAAGACCTCTGCCTAGGATCCCAGAGAACCATCGCTTGTCTGAGTAGACAACACTTACCTTGATAGACTAAGGGTCTGACTCAGTTTGAAGTAGTTTCACACGTTCAAGTATATACTTTTGTATTACCAGTCTAGGTTAAGGCCTTGTGTTGCCCTTCTTGAGCACTGTTTTCTTCCTCTTTTAGTATTATGTTTTCTTTTGAAAACAGTGAATCTACATTCCTGCACTTGTATATTGATTCGTATAGATACCAATTTGTCTGCTAGCATTTTCAATAGAAAGTAGACCGGGTCACATTGTGATCCTAGAATTCAGCTACATTACCAGTCCTGTCTCAATATCTGCCCTCGCAACACTCTTTATTTCTATCCCATCTTTCTTCCTAATGGGGACCGAAAGTGGCTTACTACATTCTCCTCTCTTCCATTTTATCCTCACAACAACCCTGTGAGGTGGGTTAGGCTGAAAGGATGTAACTGGCCCAAGATCACCCCGCAAACTTCCATGGCAGAGTGGGGATTCACACCTGGGTTTCCCAGATCCTAGTCCAGAACTTTAACCACAACACCATGCTGGTACCCTTTCTGGCAAATGTAGCATTCAAATACATTAGGGCATATGTATGCCAGCTGTGCAACTTGAGTATTAATTAACAAAAAAAGCTTGCATTTTTAGGAAAAGGAATGTGAATGCACAGGAAACATGCAAATAATTAGTATTAGGACGGTGAGGGGCATAAATGAAATGTGACAAGAATGGGAGTTTGGATGCACTCAAAATCAATGTTTCACAAAAGTGTGAGGCAGATCTCCCTACAGAGGTGTGAGAACAAGGCTTACTTGTTTTTGTGGTAATACATGAGGAAAATAAGGAAAGAGTTGAACTAATCTCTACTGAATCACTCACTGCATTTGCCAGTACAGGAAAAGATCTTACTGTGCAGGGTATTCATAATTGTCAGAGAAACTGGAACTATAAAGGTAGGTATCTGAAAGAATTGTTTTGGCACAACTGCATCTAGGCCACATGGCTTTGTAACGAGGCACTGCAGTTTATACTTCTACTTAAAAATTCATGTTTCAGAGGTGACTAGGTCATAACAATTAATTTCCATGTCCTTTAAAGAGTTTAACCAACCAGTAGTCTTCAGAAATAGAGACAGAGTGTGTAGTTCAACAGCCTCTCCCAGAAAGAGAATTAGGTCCACATAAGTGCACATCACATGACAGTGTATGTAAAAAGGTTTAGTGACAGGAAAATGTCACAAAGCAGACACATTGGTTGTGCCTCCCCCCTTAAGCAGACCCTGAGGAGCATGGATTTCATACGCAATCCTTAGCTGAGTCAAGACAAGTTCTTTTGATGACAAGCATCTGGCCATGTACCACATTTGGCCATTAACACAGTTAAAGGCATGGCCTTCCCATAGCTCTTGCCACTGAATCCTCATTTTTAAATTTAAAGAGAGGGATACAATCACTCGATGGGAACCTTAGGTATTGAACTGCAGGCTTAGTTACAGTCATGACAGGCTAGTGAGCTAGTTCATTGCCTTTAATTCCCATATGCCCAGGAGCCCAACAAAACACAACAGCATATTTTAGGGAGAGAAGGGACTCCAACTGGGAGCAGGTGACAGGGAGCAGTGGGTGCAGGCTGAAGCCAAATGGATCCGAGGCTGACACTGAAATGTGGGAGTCAGTAGATATATCAGACTTGCCTAAAGCACAGAAACTTAACATAATGCTAATACGTTTGCAGGACTTTCAGTGGTAAACACAGATGATTTAATCAGGAGCTTTCTTGTACTTGTGAATTAGTGCTGCTCCCATATGGGCCTTAGAACCGTCCGTAAAAACTGCTGTTTAAGCCCCATGGGCTAAACAATATTCAACTTTTGGTATCATTCTAAAAGTGTCCCAACACAGAGCAGGGCAAGTAAATCTGAAGAAGCCTCCTAGTTCAGAGTAGTGGGAACAATGTCATTGTACTAACATTATTCAGCCAACAACTGCAGTTGCTGCAGGTAAGATTTAATGCAAAGTTTGAAAGTGAAGATCACTGAGCAGCAAGAGTTTTCCTATTACAGAATGAACGTGTTATCTGAAGTGAGGTAGAATCACAGAATCATAGAGTTGGAAGAGATCACCAGGGTCAGGTAAAGAACACAGTTTTGCAGCATATTCCAGAGGGTTGTGCATGGTAGAGGATCAAGTGCTTTTGCAGCAAGAGGGGCATTATGTTCCAGTGCACATGATAGGCAGGATCTAATTTCTTCAAAGATGACAGCGAGCAGAATTGTACACCATGCACCAGCACAGACACACTGGGTGATTCTGCATCTAGCATCTGCTCCCCGTTTTCTCAACTGGGAGGGGAAAGTGCAGCTCAAAACCACATTCAAATACCTCGGGGTAACGCCGTACTGACTGCAAAGTCACCCCTGAATGACCATAAATCTATGCAGAAGTTACCATAAAACCTGATGATCAAAGAAAGCGAAAGCGGCATGCAGTGTAGAGGGTACCATAAAATCTGATGATCCAAGGAAGTGAAAGCAGCATGCAATGCAAAGGGGAATTTCTGTTCCAACATGGGTTTCATAAAATGGAGGAAAAAGTCAATGCAGAATCGCCCACTGTCTGCGTCCCCTGACATAGAAGAACTATCGGATAGTACTCATAGGATTTTTAATGCCTTTTGTAGGTTCTATCACCGAGTTCAGACTGGCAGTTTGCCCCGGTATAGGCGTGTCTGAGGAATGTTTCACAAGCGGATTAAAGGGGCCATTCACACAGGCCCATCTGTCTGGCGTTCCCCACCCGTACTCAACCTGTCTTGTAGCGCTTGCCTCCTGGGTTTAAAAGATACCTGGTGAAAGTGGTAGCAAACCCTGGAGAGCCCGTTTATCCTGCTTCATTCCACTTCCCGGAAGTGTGAACGCTAACCACTAAAAGCCAGGAACAGCCCGCATTAATAATGTGCGCCGGCTGTTTACGCTGACTGACCTCCTAGCCTCACTCTGGCACCAGGAAGGTGCAGGTGATTGCCTTGAAGAGGGGGTAGTGATGTCCCCGGATGTGCCTATGGCCCACAGCGGCTGGATCCTGCCCTATTTGCCGCTGCGCCTAGGGGTCTGCCGCGAGGAAAACGCCACTTACAGCCGCGCCTCCGGGCCAACAGTGTGAACGCTCCCTCGCGCCTCCTCCCAGTATGCTCCTGCATCAGTCCACACAGTGTGACCGGGAAAACCCGGAACAGTTTGTTCCGGCTCTTTTGCAAACTGCCAGTCTGAACTCGGCCTATATATGAAGCAATCATCATAAGTGCTTGCTCAGGATGGAATGTGCATCTCCACTAACATAATGGAATGCCAAAAAAGGGAGGATTTCTTGATTACAGGATATGACATCTGGACACACAGGTGCAGTTTTGAGTGTTTTTATCAGATTATTTGAACAGCTGCACTTCCAGCAAATGTGGTATAGTGTAATGGTTATTCAGACAGGAATGTAACAATAATGTGATATGGATCTGTAGAGCTGTGTGCATGTGCAGAAATCAACAACAGCTAGTTTCAGATAGTTATCATGTCCATATAATTGGGCTTCATGCCACTGTGGCTGCCACATATTTTGGATGATCCAATAACAATGCAAAACATATTTCCCGTGATTCACCCTTTATCACAAATGCAACAAAGAAAATTACTCAGACATGATCCTACCTCATCTGGAACCATGACAAGAGGGTACTTGTCTTCAGATAAGAAATTAAACAGACACCAAAGCTTGAACGCATCTTCATGGGATATAACACTGTTCCCATTCCGGTTTGCCTTGTAATTCTTCTTTGCGGTCAACGTCCAGCACAATTCGTCAAAACTCTCCTTGACAAAAGCACCTTCTTCTACCTGCAAACAAAGGGAACAAATCACTCCTGCTTTCAGGATTTTTTCCCCACAATATCAGGATCATTATGCAAGAGATGCTGCAGAAGCAGCTGGCAAAGTCTTGTTGGCAATATTTACATGTTACCATCTTGCATTTTTAGAGAACACTTTTATGTACCAACATAAGACGGATAAGCACTCCCATTTTCATTTAATAGATGAAGAAGCTGCGAAGGGCAGATGAGTGTTCATATGCAAAGGAGTAGCAGACTCTTGTTCCTGTAATCATTGAGAAGACATTTCAGCAGGTGCATGCTGCCAGACAGGTAGGTTGATATATTAGAGGTTTAACAGCATAGTGGAAGCTAAGCTAGACTATGAAACACTACAACAATTCCTTTGAAACCTAGTCATCATATTGCTCCATTCTATTAATTTCATGATGGTTCACCTCCATGGGGAGAGAAAGAGACAGTTTGGTGTAGTGATTAAGAGCACGGAGGGTTTGATTCCCCATTCTTCCACATGCAGCTGCTGGTGTGACCCTGGATCTGTCATAAGTTCTTTCAGAGCTGTTCTCTCAAGGGCAGAGCTCTCTCAGCCCCACCTACCTCACAGGGTGTCTGTTGTGGGGAGGGGAAGGGAAGGGAAGGGAAAGGAGATTGTTAGCCACTCTGAGGCCCTGGTCACACGGAAGGTTTTGGCCCGGGAGAGGGACGGATCGGGGGCGCAGCAAACAGGCGCGAGCACACCGCAACATCTGTGAATCGGCGTGCACCCGTCCCCGATCCGTCCCTTCAAGCGTAAAGCGTGCATCAAAAAAACCTGCAAAAGAGCAGGACTTACCTGGAACGCCGCAGCAAGCGCGGCCGTGGGATCGCCGGCGCGCTCGTCTTCGGTAGCAATCCAGGCTCCTGGCTGAACTGCGCAAGCACACACATGTGCAGTTCGGCTGCCTCGTTCTTTCTTCAGTGGCTTCCCCCCAGCATCTGATCATGCCGGGGAGGAACTGCGCGGCGGCTCAGGGGATCTGTGTGATCCCGCCGCCGCATGTCTCTTTTGGTGCGGCTTTCAAAAGCCGCACTTTGCTCGCAGCAATTTCCCCCCGTGTGGCAGGGGCCTCAGACTTCTTTGGGTAGTGAAGGGCGGGGTATAAATCCAATCTCCTGCTCCTCCTCTTCCTCTTCTTCTTGGCAAGATGGGTTGATCACCTGGTAATGGGCAACAGTTCCTCTCACAACATCCTGGGTTTCAGCATTGTCTAAAGGGTGCGCCTTGTGGCACTTAATTCTAATTTTGCTTGGGGGGGGTTGGTATTTTTTTTGTATATGTGCATGTGTCTATATGTGTGCACCTGGAAGTCATGGCAACCACTGGTGACTGACCCCTACTGGGGGCCTGGAGGATATTCAGAAATGTGGCTGAGTAAAGCCTGCCCTTGTCCTCCCGACTGCTGGTATTGCAGGGAGGTCTCCCATTCAAGCACTTGCCAGAGTTGACCCTGCCTAGCTCCTGAGATCTGACGAGGTAGATCTTGCCTGGGCTATCCAGGTCAGGGCTGATTTTGCATTGTGTTAATATGTGGATAAGGAAAGGTCCTTCTGCTGAAGTGCTGATCTACACAAATATTAATGGTACTGAAGCCATATCATTTGGGGGAGGGTTGCATGCAGTGACCTATGTGATGATGTGATCACTCAGTTACTGGCAGTGTTTAGACAAACTCCAAGAATTTTAATGGCCAGTTCCCTGATATAAACACTGAAATACTTTTCTCTAGTTCAAACCGAAAGATGGCCCTGATATTTATACGCAGGGCTGCCCTTGAAGGCAACCAAGAAGACACAAATGGTCCAACACATAGCACCCCATCTTTTAGCTGGGCGAACCACTCACCAATTCTAAAGGTTTTATGCTGATTACCTATTTGCTTCTGGGTTCAATTCAAGGTGCTGATTTTAATCTTTAAAGACCTTCATGGCCTGGGAAGCCATATCTAAAGGACCATCTCCCCTCATATGTATCTATGAAGCCCCTTCCTTCATGAGAGCACAGCCTTCTTGTTCCTTGGCCAGGCTAAGGCCTTTTCAGTGGCTGCCCAATCTTTATGGAACATTATGCTAGATAGACTCCAACACTCCTGGCATTTAGGAAACTCGGCATGGAACTTTTTGGAAAGTTTTTTTAGAACACCTGTTGTAAGTTATTCTAATGAATAACCAGCTGATTGAAGTTTTGGCTTTTTGAGAGCCAGTTTGGTGTAGTGGTTAAGTGCACAGACTTTAATCTGAGAGAACTGGGTTTGATTCCCCACTCCTCCACTTGCACCTGCTGGATGACCTTGGGCAAGCCAGAGTTCTGTCAGAGCTGTTCTTGAAAGAGGAGCTCTTGAAAGAGCTCTCTCAGGCCCGCCTACCTCACAGGGTGTCTGTTGTTGGGAGGGGAAGGGAAAGGAGTTTGTAAGATGCTCTGAGACTCCAAGTGAAAGGTGGGGTATAAATCCAATATCCTCTTCTCTTCTTCTTTTTAAAAATAGTGTCTGTTGTGCTCTGCTTATTCTGTGATGTTTTTATTACTTCAGGATATCTGATTAATGATACACATTGTGAATTAATATCTGATTTATTTTATTTTACATTATTTATACGCTAGCTTTCTCCCGTTTGAGGACCCAAAACTGTTTTACATTGTTCTTGTTCTGGCCTCAGGCTTCTGCTGGTCTCCTCAACAAGCCAGGATTACCTTGCAGATGGTCACTGAGAGGGGTCTGGAATGCAGGAGCAGGCAAGGTCTGGATCTGTGACATTTTCCTCAGGCAACTCTGCAGTGCTGGGCCTTTCCTGATTCCTCTGGTCCTACTCAGTCACCAACCTTGGTTCCTCCCCTAGGGATTCTGAGTCAGAGTTGCTGAGTGGGTAGGACGGGTCATTATAGTTCTCCTTTCTGTTAGCCGGATTGCCTCAAATTAATGATGATCTTAGGGGAATTATGATATTACTCAAGGCAATAGGCAAATAAGGGAGCAAGCACCTATGTATACAGGGGTCCCACTTCTTCCAGACGCACCAGAAATAGACTCAAAGGCTGGCTTCAGTATAAAATGGTTTCGTTTACTGAAGATATCTCACAAGCATACACTAATTCAAACACACTCGCAATTACACAGATCTAGGAAAATTAGAAAGAAGAGGATGGCACATTCACATTAGCAGGATGATCGTTGAGGGGCAATATTTTCCTCGGTGGGATGAAACGATCCTTAGGAAAAATAAGGGAGCGTATGGGGTAATAGGATCATGTCCTGAACTGGCAGAGACATGTGGAGACTCTGGCTGCGCAATCGAGAGTCGTGGAGTTAGGATGGGTATAGGAGAGAGAGAAAGAGAGCAAGAAGGGAGCATGGTCGGTTGCCCTTCCGTGCGCCTTGGTGTTTAGTCATGCCGGCCACATGACCACGGAAACGTCTTCAGACAGCGCTGGCTCTTCGGCTTGTAAATGAAGATGAGCACCGCAACCCTAGAGTCGGACTTGACTGGCTTTCGAGCAAGGGAACCTTTACCTTTACTATGGGGAAGGGCTAGGCTGGCCACATCCCTTGGCGCACCTCCTATTGTCCATCTCCAAAAACATACTGATTAGACCTGGGTTCAAGGGGGAAGGGGGGTGGTCAATATTCAGATCTAGTAATCCTGGGCAAGACAGTGGCACCTGGAGGCAGGGGTCTTTTCGTAGAAAAAGAGGTGCAGGAGCTCATTAGCATAACTTATTAGCATAATTTATTTGCATATGCCACGCCCCCTGACATCACCAGAAGTGTGTCAGAAGGCAACACCCAACGCTCAGGCTCCACCCCAAAAATCTCCAGGTATTTCCCAACTCAGAGCTGGCGAACCTACCTGGAGAAAACCTGCTTCAAAAGCACAAAGAAAATTTGTAGCAGGGGATCAGCTTCTGTGAGTCACTGCTCTCTTCTACGGATATTTCATAGCTGAAGAAGTGACCAGTGACCCAGTTATGAACAGAGGCTACAGTTCCCACATTTGCAGAAGTCTACAGATATGGGCAACATCCTCCTCACTTGCTACCTACATGTAATAGTTGATGACTCTGTTTCATTGTATCTGAAAATGAGTGCATGAACACGAAAGCTTATACTCAGAATTAAACTTTGTTGGTCTTAAAGGTGCCACTGGACACAAACTTTGTTCTATTGCTTCAGACCAACACGGCTACCCACCTGAATCTATGCAAACCAGAATTATTCAAGAGGGCTCTTCTACACAGGCAATAGGGTTACACTGTACAAAAGACTTCACAAAGTTACTTGAACAAATTATTAGG